ATAGACTAGTTTGGACGGCAACAGTAACTCTGACAACAACAACTCGGATGACAACCCCTGTGAACTTTAATAATCTCTGTTTAGTGGTTAAGCATGAACTCTATATTCGTCTATCAGTCGAAGTTAATCTAAATCCATGTGATTGATGTAGAATAAGAAGAAAAAGAAGAAGAATAGGAGGAGACTAGAGGGAGATATACCTGGTTATTCTGAAGAAAAATAACGGTGAAAGCTTTTCTGATTTTCGGTAAAGATGACCTTACCGCCGAAGTTCACAGTTCAAAGAGGGTAAAAGGGTTTCAGAGGCCAGAATTCACAATTCATTTTGGAGTCCAAGACTGCCATTAGTTTGGACTCCCGTTAGTTTTTCAATTAAAGGGGTTGGGCTTCGTGGAGGTTTTTTATTGGTTTGGACTAGCAGGATGCTGGTCCAGGGGACTAGAAGATGCGGACTCCAATGTTTCGTAGTGTAGGGATGAAGTGATGAACCACGTTGGTTAGCCCAATCATGCATCAAATAGGTGTAGGCTCTATAGCTAACATGTACGTTCCTACTTCCAAGTCTGCGTTCTTCTTCTTCTCCTTCTTCTTCTTCTTACTGAGTACCTTACCACCAACTAAAGTACCTTACCCACGGACTTAGATCATGTCTCACCAAACCTGAGATGAGATGAGAGAAACCTTAGCCTCCCTACATCCACTTGGGTAAGAAGCCCACATACATAAACGAAAAAGGTCTCTCAAGGTTGTATAATCTGCAACCTCAATCTCACAATCTTAGAACAAAGAAACCCATCTTCGTTATTTCAATTTTCGCAGAAAGGAAAAGCATCGAAAGTTACGAATAAAAGCTAAAGAAATTAGTTAGAAAAAAAAGTTCACCAAAATATGGGGAAAACAAGCATTTCCTCTTCATATCAAGAGACAAGTGGAGCTTTTACAGTCTCCCATTACCTCTCTCCCGATCATTCACCACACATAGAGTCTTCATCACCTTAAGATTCATGAAAAGTTGAGAGAGAGAGAGAGAGAGAGGGGCAATATGGCATTCGTCTAGACCTGCACTTGCATCGACACCTTGTGCTTCTCTTTATTTGGTCTCTCTTTTTGTAGAGAGCACACACAAAGAAAACTTGGGTGCAGTGCAGGTGCAAATCCAGGCATTTGCAACATATTGACTGTCAACACAAGGAAGAAGGAGCATATCAAAGAGAGAGAGAGAGAGGTAATGGGAGTAGAGAATGCAGATTCCCTACTTCCTCCTTAAGATAATTTTTTTTTTTGAAAAAAGAAAAATATAATGGTAAATTTTTTAAACTATCCTTATGGTTTAGCTAATTGACTAAGTATACCTTATTATTTGAAAATTGATTGATGTTACCTTATTGTTTTTGACAATTGACTAACTCTACCCTTACCTTATCATCCGTAATATTCTGTCAAAACCTGCATACATGTGAGATCACGTGATGTTTAAACTTCTTTTAAAACCCAATATTATCCCCCTCTCTCGTCCCCTTCCTTTGACCGGCAACCCCTTCCTCCTCAGACCTCCTGTCTCTTCTCCCTTACCTCTCTCTAATTTTCTCTTTCTTACCTATGGTCGGAGGAGATTTCCTCTAAAAAATCAAGAAATCTTTGAAAATCCCCCATTACTTCGATTCGTGGAACTCAGGATGAAGAACCCTAACATGAAAATCCCGACTTCTCTCGCAAACCTTAATAGATTACAAATACTAATGCTCCAATCAAACAAACTCATTGGAAACATACACAAATCATTTGGGAGCCACCTAGAACAGTCACTTGTCTTGAGGTTGCCCTTGCACTAGTACAAACCATAAACTGCTGTGTCAAATGGTGTGGAGTTTTTGTTGCCGACGACAAAGCTATTGTACTTTGACTGAAGAAAGATAAGGAACAAAGGGAGAATTCTAGCTCTAGTGACCTGAAAGATAACAGAAGATGGAGTTTTGGCAAGTCAGGGAGGGATTTGGGGAGAATGGTTCAGATCTTGTCTAGCATTCCGAATAACATAAGTCAAGCAGATGCTGCTTGGTTGAGGTCTTATTACACCGAGATTGAGAAGGAGAAGAACAAGCATGCATTATGGTGGTTGCGGCCATGGTAGCCGTAGCAGATGCTGCCATTGCAACTGTGCAGGCGGTGGTGGCCGTTCACAGAACCTAACCGACCAAAACTAGTCTCTTGGCAATGTGTGGGGATCTCACATCTCTCTCTCTCTCTCTCTCTCTCCTTCTTCTTCAACCTCACCTCCCCTACCATCGCCGATTTAACTCTTAGCAGCGGCAATTTGGATTATCTCAGACCCCACCTTTTCTTTTCCTTTGTCCTATAAATACTTGCTTAGATTAGTATTTGTCTAGATATCTCTCAGGTGGCTCTCATCATCGCTGCAACTATTAGCAATTTGAGTTATCTTAGATCCCACCTTTTCTTTTCCTTTGTCCTATAAATACCCGTTTAGACTAGTATTTGTTTAGAGATCTCCAGACTAGTTTTTTCTCTTAGATCTCTGCTACCGTTGATCTCTCTGGTGGCTCCCATCGGGGTTATCTCAGATCTGGGTTCAGATTAGAAACAATGCAAGAGATCTTTTTTTTTCCTCTCAGATCTCCGCTACTGTCAGTGGCTCCATCCAATTGAATTTAAGGGTAAAATGGTCATTTTGCATTTTTCCGTCCATGTTTAATGGCCCTGATAATGTTTAGAGAATTGTCAAAAATAGTAGAGGTAACATCCGTCAATTTTCAAACAATAAGGGTACACTTAGTCAATTAGCTAAACCATAAGGGTAGTTTAAGAAATTTTAGTAGCAAGCATGTGATACAACCCTTTATACATAAATCCATCAAGAGACAAAAATGACACTGAACACTGAAATTTGGTGAGGCGTCGAAATCGATGCTTGCTAGCATATAGGGGTGGCAACGAGCCGAGCTTGGTTCGTGAATCGGCTCAAATATATACATATATATATAAAATAAAATTATAGAAAATAATCTATATATATATATATATGTATATAATAAAAATATTATAATTTTATAATAAAATATTTATAAAAATATATAACAAAATTCTTTGTAAAATATAAAATGAGCCGAACCGAGCCAAGCTCGAGTCTTGTAGAATAGTCTCCAGCTGAGCTCGAGCCTAATACTATTCGGCTCGACTCGGCTCGAATCCACCCCTACTAGCATAGAAATTATTGGTATCTAAGACTTGCTTTCAACTCGTAGTTGGAGTGGGATTCATTCCGGAAGAAGGAAATGGAGTATCAAGGTTAAATTATTTATAATGCCCCTCTATAGTATTTCATAATTAATTAAAAGTATTCTTAAAATTTTAAATTACCTAAATTTTGAAAACATGAAAAATAGCATATCTCTGTCAGTTGCCCGTCATATTCCGGTGGTTGGCATGCGGTAATTATAAACCCCATTTTTGTCAGTTGCCCGTCATATTCCGGTGGTTGGCATGTGATAATTATAAACCCCATTTTTGTATTTTCATTGGCAAAATCCACTCAAGTAATGTTGCATTTTAGGCTCAGAATACAAATACAAATACGTATAATATAAATACATACAAAAAAAATATAAAATATAAGGTTTTATATTTTATAAATTTACATTTATACTCCTTCCAAACTGATCATTAGAGATCACCGGACCTTTATTCTTAATTAGTAGGTTTGGGCAGTTTGAGCCATCTCAAAACGCCCTAAGAACCTGTATGGTTCTCACGGCGGCAACCAAGATGATAGCCTGGACCATGCCGGTGGATAATTCTACGTCTCCTGAAAGCTGAAAGTGGGGAATTTCAAGCTTGTCCCTTACGTTTATGGCTCCTAACTGTGAGAGGTAATGAAAATTGAAATTCCAAGAGTTTAAGAGTTTAGGAGCATTTTTAAAGTAAATGACTGTTTTAGTCTTAAAAAAATCATTATTAAATGTTATAATTTTGTCTCATTTAATTGTTGACAATTTTCTTTCAATTAGGAAAGTTATTTATCTAATTGAAAAAATAAATTTTCTATAAACCCTACATAAATTAGAAAAAAGAATATGTATATTTTCGTTAATGAGAATCAAAATCCAATTTACCAACTTTTCCCTCTCTCAAAATCTAAAAAAATAAGAAAAAATTCAACATTATTAACTTATATTTTAGGGTTAGTCTCAATTTAGTATCCAAACTTCAAAACATGTCATTGCAATATTTGAACTTTCGAAAACTGCCAATTTACTACATGTCCTATGCGAATTGAAACATTTCAAAATTCCAAATTACCCTTTGGAAGACACTACTCATTTCTTCCTTGGGATTAAACCAGAGAAACAGTAAATAGAATCCCAGATCAATGATTGGTGAGTTTACCATCTAATTAGCAGAGGCTCACCATCTAAACTGAAGCTATTGCCGATTTTCTTTTAGAATTTCATAAAATTAAAGTAATTGGAAATGGAAATGGACCAAAAAAGACTCACAAGTTAGAAATCTTAGAAGAATCTGGTCTTTTCTCTTATTCTTCATTTTCTTCTCGTTGGAGATTATAAATATAAATCACAATTTTGAATATTCTTCTATTCTTTGTCAATTACCTCCGACGGCAACGATCTTCTCCAACTATGAGATTGTAAAGAGATGAGTGGCAATAACAACAAAAGGGACTTTGTATAAGGTGAATTCAATGCGATTGATTAATAAAGAAAAATAGATTGACACATAAAAGGGCATTTTTGTCCTTCTATATACCACTTAACGTCTGTTAACAATTTTTAGTCCTTGGGATACAATTAAGTATAAAAGGGACGCGTGCTGCTGCTCTTTCAACGCCAAGGTTCCACCAATTCGTCAACTGTTGCAACGGCTGTCGACGGTTGAAGCAAGACGCATCATATTCGATATGGTAAGTTAACCACTCAACAGTCAACACGATGTTGATAAATAAGTGATCAAGATGAACCACCTAGAGAACACAGTTGGAAATTTTTTTTGTTGGAGCCTTGGAGTTGGACTGTTGGAGGTAGGGAATTTTTTTTTGTTTGTTTGTTAGAAATCAATGGAAACTCCACTCCTTGAAGAGGATAAACCCAACACTACCGCCAGTGGTAATACTGGGTCTGGGTTGCTCTTGCTCCGGCGGGTGAGCGTAGAGTCTAAAAAGCTTTGGAAGATTGCAGGGCCAGCGATATTCACAATGATATGTCAGTACTCGCTTGGTGCCATCACTCAGGCCTTCATTGGACATGTGGGAACGCTTGAGCTCGCCGCCTTTTCTGTCGCAAACTCTGTAGTAGCCGGATTTGGCTACGGGCTTATGGTAACTCTCTCTCTCTCTCTCTCTCTCCTCATCCTCATGTGTATGTGTGAGTGTTTATTTATGATGTTATTGTAGTTGGGAATGGGGAGTGCTTTAGAGACATTGTGTGGGCAAGCATTTGGAGCAGGGAAGTTTACGATGCTGGGAATTTACATGCAAAGATCATGGCTCATTTTGCTCTGCACTGCTCTTCTTTTGGTTCCAATATATGTTTTCTCTGCTCCCATCCTCATACTCATGGGACAGACTGTCGAGATCGCTGATGCTGCTGGTGAGTGCTCTCTCTCTCTCTCTCTCTCTTTCAGAGACTAATATGCCCCACAGTCATGCAAGGGTGTAATCATAGATAAAAAATTCTATCAAATGCATCAACATTTTGATGAACTATAACCTGAAATGAGTCCAGCAGGATTAACTAAAACATGACGGATGAATTTCATGGCACACAGGGAGGTTCGCCACTTGGATGCTTCCTCAATTGTTTGCATATGCCCTGAACTTTCCAATACAGAAGTTCTTGCAAGCTCAAAGGAAAGTCATGGTGATGGCTTGCGTTGCAGCTATCGTTCTGGTGGTACATGTACTGATTAGTTGGTTGGTAATATTTAAACTGGGGTGGGGTTTGATCGGTGCGGCAGTGAGTCTCAACTTTTCATGGTGGATCAACATCTTTGGTCAGTCGATGTACATTTTCATATCCAAGTCGGGTGGAGCTTGGACTGGTTTCTCTTTGCAAGCCTTTGCAGACCTGTGGGGATTTATCAAGCTTTCCTTGGCTTCTGCCGTGATGTTATGGTACTCTCTCTCTCTCTCTCTCTCTCTCCCTCTCCCTCTCTCTTTCTCTATTCCTGTTCCTGATATAGTTTTATTGCACGATGTGGCAGTCTGCAGTTCTGGTACTTGATGATAATAATAACAATAACAGGACATCTAACCAATCCATTGGTACCAGTTGATGCCCTTTCCATCTGGTGAGTTCTTTATAAATTATAATCCCGCTTGATTTCATGGTTGTCCAATTACAGTATTTTTTACCTGTAATTGTACTGAACCGACTCCAACAACCTAAGAAGAAAAACCTTACATTTCGAGCTTAATCATATCTTTCTTTGAGACTTCTCAAGTAACCATTCAACCTAAAAGCTTAAGCTGTTAGCTGAGGTCTCTGAATGGGTTTTTATTCTTTATGATTTGTTAATTCTACCTTCTTTACTTAGAATAAGAATCTCCTTTTGTTTCTTTGTTTTTAACAGCATGAGCATAAATGGATGGGATGCAATGATTGGGTTGGGATTCAATGCTGCCATAAGGTTCAACACCTCCTTTCCTTTTCCCTCATTTCTTTTTAATTTATTATTTTGATGGTTAACATAAACACTAGTACAGCAGGGCTAGTGTTTATTGGATAAAAATTAATAATTACAGGGAACTCTTGACCTCAGATAGCTGAGACCAACATTGGCTAATGGCCTTCTTTTAGAAATTTCTATAAGCTACACAGAATAGGGTACCCGTAGCTGATCCCAAATAGTTGGGATAAGATTTTGTTGGGTTGAGCTGAGGTGAGATACATCTGTCTTTCAAAACAATTACTTTTTGGATATTAATTAATGCAATTTATAAAAAAAATGACATACATCAGAAGTAGGACTCTTCTGTTCTTTTTATTCCCCTCTGTAAACAGTAATGTGAGTTCCTTTTTTGTATTAATTTGTTTCTGTTTTCTTCAGAAGTAAGACTCTTCTGTTCCATTATGAGAATCTGTTCCCAATTTGCTTTAGGATAGGATTAGGACAATGAAACTCCAGCCATGTCCTGTGTGTGTCCAAAAGGGCAGTCAAGTGTAGGAAGCTCCCGCCAATGCAGGGTCTGGGGAGGGGCAAATGTACACAGCCTTAACCCTGCACATACAGAGAGGCTGTTTCCAAGATTTGAACCCTGGTCGCAATGTCCTGTGTCTGGCTCATTCTGTAAAATTTCCATAAAAGTTTATAATTATTTTAGAAAGCTCAGTTTTCATGTTTCTTGTTTGGGTTCTCCTGTATCACATATTGATTATGGGGACCTTGATTTGAAAACAATATAAATTATAAGGGTTCCTGCAACTCATCACTTTCATTTATGATTGCTTCACCAGAATCTTAGTGCCAAACCCAACCAGAATTATCTGCGCAATCAAATACAAATCGTGCTCTTAAGATCTATCTCAGCATGTTTACCTTTGTGAATCATACAACACTTAAATCTCAGTCAAATGACCAAGATTGTCAAACTCCAATTGTAGAATAGGATGCAAGAGATACATGCTATGAACAGCCACATGACAAATAAAACAATGAACCAAAACAGTCAATCTTGTCTACCATTTAGCATAGTTGGGTTTAGAGTATATGTTGCCTGATTGCCTCTTGCATGAAAACATTCATTAATATTACCTCTTCATGAAAATCTTTCCATGGTTGGCTTCACAGTGTGAGAGTATCAAATGAGCTTGGAAGCCGTAACCCTCAAGCAGCAAAATTCGCAGTAGCTGTGGTGTCTGCCACATCTTTGTCAATAGGAGTGTTATGCATGATTTTGGTCTTGACAACAAGATTCAATTTTCCTGTTCTGTTTACTAGCAACATTGAAGTCATGAAAGAAGTTAGCAAGCTTGCACTTTTGCTAGGAGCCACTGTGCTTCTGAATAGTCTTCAACCAGTCTTGTCTGGTAAGTATGAAAAATTGTTATTTTTCCATTATTTTCTTCTGAAGATATACATCCTGGACACGTGTAGCATTTGTAAGGGCATTATATTCTATGGATTTGTGCTTTCTGGTTTTCTCTATGACATCAAACATTTATATATCTGGGCCTCTGGGTCTTGTTATTGGTAAGACAACAGATTAGCCATGCATATGTTATGCTTTAGGAAAATGGTGACTCTACAGTTTATGTTTACAAAGATAAGGGTAGAAACTACAATTCGGTAGTTGTAGGAGTCCAGTTTTATTGAATTGTTGTAAAAGGGAAAAGTAAGCAGGGAGAAAGGGTCCAGAAAATTCATCTATATCATCCTAGTATCCAGAGTTCTTAGGAAACCCATGGGTGAGCAGAGTATGAGAATAATACTCTGTTTTGATGAGTTACTTTTGTGTATGTATTTGGAAGAGGATTTATCAAAGGTTTATTAAAGTTAAGTTAGTCTGTGGTTACTTTTTTTTTTTTTTTGCTGCAACTGTGATTACTAATTTGTTCAATGTACTCTGCTTTCTTGGTTTAATTTTCTTTTCAGGGGTTGCTATTGGAGCTGGATGGCAAGCTCTCATAGCTTATATCAACATTGGGTGCTATTACTTTGTTGGCTTACCTGCTGGCATAGTTTTGGGGTTTAAATTTAACTTTGGGGCTGAGGTGAAATACTAAGAGTGTTTGGATTATATAACTAGAAAGATTTTCTTTTTTTATTACATACATCAGGTTTTGGAAGATTTTATGATTTTTCTTTTTCTCTTTCATGTTTGGAGTTGCAGGGCATTTGGGGAGGGATGATAGGTGGCATTGTTTTACAGACCATGATATTAGTGGCAATTACTTTATACACTGACTGGAATAAGGAGGTGAGTATCAAAGAGTTCCACAATTTAGATAGAATCTCTCTTCACTTTTTATATGCTTTATCTTTAATCATACTTGGTCTACAAAAACATAACTCCATCCTTTCCATGTAGTGAATAAATTTTCTCTTCTTAAGAAGATATTTGTATTGAGAAATTCCGCCAGAGCTTGTTATATGAAATACCAGTTAGTACTTGTTACAGTAAGTGATGAAAATAATTTTTTTTTTCTTATAATTGAATTTGCAGGCTTCAGAAGCTGAGAACCGTATCCGGAAGTGGGGAGGATCAGTAGATGAGAACTGATTTACTTTGCACAATTTGCTTCCTGTTGTTTCTGCTGTTCAACAAAAACTAGTGCCATCAGGAATCAGGATAACATGATGCCAAGGAAAATGAGATGGTCTTCCTAGTGCATGTCATACTTTGTTGAAGGCTTGATCTGTTCCAATCTAGAAAGTAGAGAAATTTCATTTTTAAAGGCTGTGTTTTCAATGACCATATATTTCATGAGATCAACTTCCGTGCTCACACCGTTCGTACAGTCCCTTGCAGCCTTGCATTGGGATTTGGGAATATCTTTGTACTTGTATTATTTTTTTTTTCACGGGGAGATATTCTCAATGCAAGGGTGCAAGGGACTGTGGGAACACGGTCTTGCAAGGTATCATTTCCCATTCCATCATCCCCGGCCCATGAATTTCATTTTAAAAGTTGCCATTGAATCTAACTACTAACAACAATCAATTGGATACATTTCTTATATGTCCATAGGTTCTTTGTTAGATTTAAGTGAAATATCAGAAGAATAATCTATATTGATTGACTGCCTCCATTATGTTGGTGCCCCCAAATAGCACTCTTTTTGTGTTGGATCTGATGGAGGGTGATTTGACCCAACCTCATCATAAGAGGACACGTGGACGTGACTCAACATAAGTGACAACTCAGCACAACTAGTCCGCCAAGATCCAGCGTGGCAGCTCGCTATAAGATGACACTCCGATTACCCCGAGATAAGATTCTTCCAAGACAGAAATCTCCCGAGCTCAAGGTGCTTCGGGTTGAGCTCGAGAGCCTCGTAAGAGTAAACTCGCTCGACCAAACTCAAGTAGGCCACCTCGGTAGAAGCACCTTGGCACAGGGTAGCTCGGGGCAGAGCAGCTCGACGTATCACAGGAAGATCTCCTACCTGACAACCGTACCTGCCACATTTGAAGACTGCACCCACGTCTCTCGTCAAGCGGCGTCGTGCCTGCCAACCCTGAGAGGTGTCCCTTACCTAGCGAGGGCCATACTCTGCAATGGTTACCTGCGCCCACCAGCTCAGCCCTGGCAAGTAACGGCTGCGGCAGAGAATCAGAGGCGGTTATGCCTGATTTGATAGGACATCGGTATATAAGAGCTCCGACCCCCAAGAGCAAAGGTAACTTGCGTGATCTGCACTCTAACCCTTTTTGCTCTGCTCTACAACTCTCTTCCTGCTACTAACTTAAGCATCGAAGTATTCCCGCCGGGAAAGCTCCCCAGGGATCCTTTTTCTTCACAGGTATCTCGTCCGTCGCCAGGTAGGAGTGATCAGATTGCGCACCATCAGGATCTTTTTTAAATTATATTTTGTGATACCAAAACTTTCAACTACAAGGAAGTCGAAGAAGGTTGTAAATTAAACTGAAACGCTCACATGCATCATAAAATGCAAAGCAAGTTAAGAATTCAAACCTAGATTACAACAATTAAATCACAAAATTATGGGAAATATACAAAATTCGTGGAGCTAGAGCCTAGAGGAGGAGCAGTGCTAGCAAGGTGCTCAGCTGCCTTTGTAGCCCCATTACAAAAACTGCAGGGCCTACGGCAACCATTGGTCTTCTTTGCTCATAGCATGGAACTTGTTCACGGTTTTACTAGTGAAACCCCTGAATGCAAGTGCACAAGTCTAGCAATTCCCAATTCCTTGGCTGAACTGAAAAGTTTATTGCTTTGTCTTTTAGTGAATAAGATTTTAATGAGGTTAGGGGCTCTTTAATGGCTGAAGCTGAAGTTGGGTAGATTACTATACCTTTAATTTGATTTTCTTTTTTTTATCTAATTATACTTTATCTACTAAAAGACAAAACCAATGTTTTAAAAAAGGACCTATAACTGGAATCATTATAGCCACTGGTTTCCGGGTCGATGGTTTGACTGTCCAGTCTGAATGGACAATACGTTCTATCAAAACATTAAAATAAAAAATGATAAAAAACCATTGATTGGGTCAAACGAATCGAACGCTCGGATCAATGGGTCGTTAACCGATTCAACGGTTTTTGCCAAAGACTGAGTTTGGGGTAAAACAGAACCACCAATTGCTTGGACAGTTCCTGGCCCAAACGGTCCGACCATCTGAGATAACAGCGGTTCGAAAATGTTGGATAAAATAATAAGTCATTCAGGAGTAGTGATCTCCTACCAACAAAATATGTTCCAACACCCTTCCAACATGATCTTAACCACACATCTCATACATGGTGATTCCCAGTCTCATGGTGAAATTTGTGGTGTCCGATCATGTTGGAACACATTTTGTTGGCAGGAGATGCCAATTCGTCATTCAGGTCAGCAACTTCAGCTGTAATTGTAACTTCCTAAGTGCCAACTGCCATATCAACCGAATCATAATTTAGGGGATGTTTGGAACCGTGGTCGTTTTTCAAAACAACGGTGCCACATCGGATCCACATAGGCGTTTCAACAATGCCCATGTATCTCATTGTTTGGTTCAGTCGATTATTAAAAAAATGGGCATGCCTTGAAAATTGGGATCCCACCGATACATGAAACACCAAATCGGTGAACCATTTCCCTCAACGGTTGACTGATATATATCCTATGTGGTGCTTACCTGTCAGCACATACATGAAAAACAGTGATAAAAATCACCTTACCAAACAGCATACTGTTGCTCACTACGTACATGGTAGAAGCGTTTTTTTTTGTGAAAAAAGGATCTTGGAAGCATATGTTTTTTTTTTTTTTTTTTAAATCGGTCCCAAAAAGCACCCACGCTTCCAAACACCATGTTATAGAAGTAGAGCAAGGCCAATAATGTTGGATTGGAGACTTGGAGTTGGAGTGGGTAAAGAATCCATGTGTTGTTTTAGGTTGTTGGTTGAAATCCCTACTTGGCATGTTTGGAAACCTTTTTCCCAAATTACTTGTCTTGAGAAACTCAGATAACTCTTTGTCTTGGGGCTTTGAATAAATAGGTTCAGTCACAAATTTCGATTGGATTAAGGGTTAGTATTAAATAGCGGCAACGACAATTCTTTTATTGTCGAATTAAGTTTATATTTGGCATCGATGCTGAGAAAACGGTGCTGTCTATATGTGTGGAAGAGGGTATTTCTTTTTTTTTTTTGGTTTGGAAATGCTGCTGCCACGTTTTTTGGGACAAAAGCGATACCTTTTGTTTGGTATTAGTGCTCCAGATCTGTTTTCAGCATTGGTATCCATTATAGGAAGTCTACGTCACTGTCACATCATGTTTTCATTGGTAGCAACGAGCTCCAATTTGAAAAAATATCGAATTCAGCGTTTCTCCAAACCATGCCTCCCCAATTTTCAAGACATGACTTGGAGCACTGTTTTTTATGGAAAAACAGTTTCAAACATATTACCGTTTTCTGAAGCTCCAATTTTTCCAACGTGGCGCTGATGTATCACCATTTTCTGGAACAACGGCATCGATGCCAAACACCACCTAAGCTGTCTTCTTTTAGATTTAAGCTAAAAGCAATAGAGATGCAACTTAGGTATGCAGGCAGGCCCTGAAAACTGAAATTGGTTTCAATTTAGATTCGGTCCAATCCAAACCTGGTCCATTGAAACTCGTACTCTTATATTCTATCAATGGACCGGATATGAATTCAATCTAACCCAGTCCAATATAAACCCATTATGGATGTATCAGGTCCAACCCAATCCAATAAATATTTTGGACCATTAAGTCTGGACTGGTCCAATTCGTTATGTCTTATTGGTCTATCCAATTCATCCAAAATTGATTTTGATTCAGATAGGACCCAACCCAAACCTGGTCCATCGACACCTCTAAGTAGTTATAATGGTTTCTCTTGATTTTCTATATAGTTTTATTATATTTAGTATGTCAGGAATAAGAGGAATTTTAATAGTAAGGATCTCTCACTTGCTTAGGCTGTGCTTGGTTGCACTACAATTTTATTTGCACTAGTACAAATAATGCATGGGAGTGCAAATATAAAAAAATGCAAATTCTGGTTTAATTTTGTTTCGGATTTCATTTTATTCTGTTTTGTGTCTTAATTTACTTCATTTGTACTGCAATCAAACAAAATAAGCTAAAATTTGAAACAAAAATAGATCAGAATTTACACTCAAATAATTTGTACTGCTATGGTTTTGCATCAGTGCAAATATATTTGCATTGCAACCAAACATAGCCTTAGGTTCTTTCTAGATTCTAATCTTCAACTTTAGGATGTTATCACCACTGATTTGTTGCATAGAGAAATTTCTTGGAAACCCCAAATTAGGGGAAAATATCAAACCAAACTGTGACGGGGAACTATATCTTCATCTTTAGGATCTTATGGTTTAGTGGCCAGAAATAGTCAGTCTATCTTTTGTTGTGCAGGTAAGGACTATGTGTTCCCTGTTCCAAGGAGCAATGGAAGTTGAACTTAGGACCCATTCTTCTTCTTCTTCTTGATTTTGAGAGGGGGGGGGGGGAAGTTAGTCAATGGGATACCTATTTCCTATTTGGGGAAGTGATACCTATTTCCTATGTGGGTATTGTCAATACTTGGATGGAACAAAATTGCCCCTTTTGATAATGGCTTTTTATGGCTAAAAAGATCACCCCAACTACAAAAATATAACCTCCTGAAATTTGCACATACATCGAGTGTATACAAACCCATAACCTAGTGATCAGGTTGAATGGGTTAATTCAACCTCCCAGGTCAGACAGTTTTTGACCAAGTCAACAAGTTTTAACCAAATATTGGGTTTTAGCCAAACCGAACCTGGAATCACGTCTGGATGACTGTTTGGACAGTTCGACTGTTCGATCAAAGGAGGGTTGAAACCATTGCCAAGAAGACCTTAAGGGTCTATTTGGTTTACGGGAAAAAGGGGTCTGGAATTAGAATCGGAATGGTCCATTCCAATTCCAACTGTTTGGTTGGGTGGAATCGGAATCCCATTCCCATTCATGGTGGAATGACAATCCCTCCCCCTCCCGTAGGAATGAGAATCCATTCCAGCCAATTTTGGTTCCGATTCCGATTTGAGACTGAACCAAATAGGTGAAGTGAAAAGATTATTCCGATTCTAATTCCAATTATAAACCAAACGGACCCTAAATATTTTTTTAATCTGTTTCTTTTTGTTATGCTCATGGTTCATACATCTGCTGATAGGATTTGCCCAATCGGTTGCAGTTTGTTAAACCCA